GATTAGTTTACTTGTTCACACTTGATTATTTTTTACAGTGCCACTCTCCTCGAAAAATAAGTTTTTCCGAATTTTACTTTACTCACTAAACTATAGATTGTTTTTTTTATTTTTCCTAGATATTTAGACATTATATTTTATTAATGTTAAGTAACCTTCTCTCGATATTTTTTTCATTTTTTTTTTCATTATACTGGTTTTAATTTGATCATTTTTAACATCTTACATTTTATAATTATCAGTGAAATTGCAAAATTTTGTTAGTGACCCTTGATCCCATTTTTACTTTTTTGTAATTTGTACCACAAATTCTGGGGTTAATTCTCGTAAATAAACTTAATAACTTAATTTTTCAGTTTTCCACTTCTTTCTCAAGTTTTCTCCAAACATAAAAAAAAACACTTTTTTTCGTAACAATAACGTAACAATAATCACAATAACCGAATGGTTTAAAATATGGTTTCTCATTTTTACTCATTTATTTCTTTTCAAATCGAAAATCCCCCCCGCGACCCGCCCGATAACGGGCCCGCAAGTCCGTATTGTACCCGTTTCTACTTTTGTGTCCGCCGCGGCCGTGAAATCTACGCCACAACGGCATCACGTAGCGGGCCATTCCGAAATTAAAAAATATCCCCGCATTTATATGTGAATATAATTACGAAGGCGGAAAAGCGAGGAATTACGGCGCAACGACACCAGAAACCGCCGTGACGAACGAACTGATTTTTAAAAACGGTGGCATCGACGCGGGGCCGACGAGATGTTTTTTTTTGTGCCATAGAGTCGCCAAACCGAATCGAAACCGATTCAAAATGCACGATCGCGATTACGGTCGACGCCAGTTGGGTTCATTCATAATTGTTTTTCATTCATCGCCGCCGCTGACGTCGCGCGAGGTATGATTCGGCTTTTTTTCCGGGTCGCCGCTGGGTTTTGTATATAGTAGTATACCCCCTTCTCTCAATGGGATATTCGTGGAAGCAGACGTAGACAGATAACGATTGAAGTTACAAATTAAGATTGAAAGCTTTTCAAAGACACATCCGCAGGCTACCGTAATACTATTTACAAATCTAAACTCCTGGTATCTCAAACGGAATTTTGTCGGAAGGATCGGAGGCGTTGAAAGATTCTTGGACAAGTGGTAATTCTGGTTTTGGCTTTATAATCCCGACATCTTGAACACTAGTGAATACCGGGAAAAAATTCAAGATGTTCTTACAGACGGATCCTATCGCCTACTTAAAAAAGATCTTACGTCAACCTTATATTTGATATTGAGGCTTCTTCTCTATCAGAATCCGTGATAAAGTCTGTCATATCTAAGATTCTCAAACCAGGATTACCCATTCGACCTATTGTCAGCACCAACACATTCTGTAGCAAATTATCTAGGTTCTACATTAAAACCGTTTACAGGTAAAACTGATAGTTCCATACTGAACACTTAAAAACCATTAAATTAGATGCACACTTCACTTTACTAAATCCCTATCCCTGAAACTCTCAACATTATTTCAGATATAGTAAAATCCGAGAATCTGGAACCAAACCATCTCATCTTAATCGAAAAATGCTTGTCTGAAACATATTTTTCCTGCAACGGTCAAATTTAGGAGCAAACGTCAAGCAAATCTATGGGTTCTCCATTATCACTAGTCATAGCGAATTATTTATGGAAGCCTTTGAGAAGAAGGCCGTTGACACCTTCCATCTAAAACCAAAATTTAGGAAACGCTACGTTGATGATACTTTTGTTATTTGACTTAATGGTCAAGAATTTCTTCCAGATTTTCTTAGCCATTTAAACTCAATACACCCTAACATACCATTGAATTAGATACTAATAATCTCCCATTTTTTGATATTCTTATCAACAGAAAATCAGACCTAACATTGGGTCATAATGTTTATATCAGCCGGTCACTTCACCACAACCTTCCAAAGACAATGAGTCCGAAAACACCCCACACATGCCACTGTTTGAGATACCGTTGAGAGTAAAATAAAAAAGTAAACCCATAAAACAGCATTCGCAGTGATTATACTATATAAATATATATATATTTTTTCAATTTCTCTTGGGTATTCGGTCTCTCGAAAACAATTAATGTTATTCTTCTAAATATTTATTAAAGTTTCGATCCTAATTTCAATCTTTTTCAACATATTTTTATTTTGTATATGGATTGGAATGGCATGCAAAGCAGGTACGGACGTTTTTTATTAGTAAATATATTGGATAATTTAATTTTGTTAGTTGATGATATATTTTGTTAAGGTCTTTAGAATCGGTTTTGTAATTAATTGGTTTTTTGTTTTTTTGGATTTCTATACTTTCATAAAGTTCTCTTTTTTTGATGTTAGGTTCTGTTAGTAGGACTTTAACTTTTCGAAAATTTTGTTTGGTGTTTTCGCAATGGGTATGAAGAGCTGTTTTATTTTTTTTGTCCGTTGATTTTATTTTTTAAATATTGGCTTGTTTGTCCAATATACACAATGTGGCAATCAGAGCATGGAATTTCATATACTATATTACTTCTTTTTTCAACTGGAATTTTTGCTTTGAGTTTAGTGAAGAGATATGTTTTTTGTAAATTAAAATTTTTGTGTCCTATTTGAATTTTGTGTTCCTTGAAAATGGTTTGGAGTTTTTCTGATAATTCAGGTATATATGGCAGCGATATATATTTTCTTTGAGTATTTTGATGTTGGTTTTTGTTTACGTTATTATAAGATTTGTTGGTACGTTTATTAAAGATATTATTAAGTTTATGGGATAATTATTTTCTAGAAGTCCGCGTTTTGCTTTTTCAATTGCGTCTGGTCTGTATTCTGGATCGGATAACATTATTGCTCTGTCTGCGAGACCTATTATGACGGATTTTTTTTGGGCTAGGGGATGATTAGATTTAAAATTTAGATAACGTGATGATTTTGTTTTCTTAGTATACCCATTGTGAAAACACCTAACGCACATTTAATTTTCAAAAAGTTAAAGTCCTACTAACAGAACCTAACACCAAAAAAAGAGAACTTTATGAAAGTATAGAAATCCAAAAAAACAAAAAATCAATTAATTACAAAACCGATTCTAAAAACCTTAACAAAATATATCATTCAATTTTAAACTATACATATATTACATATACACATATACATTATATATATATATATATATATATATATATATATATATATATATATATATATATATATATATATATATATATATATATGATGACACTATATTCCGGGATATCATCCGTTCGCTCGTTGAACTCCGACTGGAATCCTGCATCCAACTGGAATCCTGCAAATCTTGCATCCGACTGGAATCCTGCAGACGTTTCGCCAAAATCTCACTTGGCATCTTCAATGCTCGCGCTCCGAAAACACTTCGAACACACACATATATATATATATATATATATATATATATATATATATATATATATATATATATATATATATATATATATATATATATTTATATGGCAATAATAATTTATTTAATATTTAAACAACAATGGAAATAGTTGTAGACTCGCAATCTAGCAAGATAGCAACAAGTATTCCAATGATTTGAAAATTCCCTTAAGCGACAAAGAAGACATGGATATTTCTGAAACAGAATTCTTTAAATTTATTATATGTGAGAATATTCCGCTTTTCCAAATTTCACCATTGCTATAAAAATTTACTTACACTTTCTGTTTCCGTAGCAAAATTAAAGTTAAAAAAGAAAAACATGTTGTTTTATCACTCGTTTGAATTGCATGCGAAATATGTGGCAATATTGAAGCAGTCAAAGTCTTGAGCCACTTGTGTCACTAAAAGCAAGAAAAATTGCATTTTGATACTGGAAATAAAATTATCAGGAATAGTCATTTACAGCAACAATCCTGAAATCTATCGAAATAGGTAAGATATAAATAACTATGTATATCATTTTGTTGTTTGTTATACTAATCTTTTTTACTTTAATGCTTATTTGCAGATCATGCACTTAGGATCACGTACTTTTGCCGGTGTTGTTGGTTCGTTCGTTTTGCAGTTGTAGAATTCTTGTTACCACTACCATTATTCTTAAGTCTTATTCGTAAGTCCCTGATCCTAATTGATAACGATATAGAACGAGCAACGATTAAAATGATTTCATAAGGTACCCGTTAACAAACGATTTACCGTCAGAAAACCCAAATGGATAGACAAAATGAGAAATAAATATAAAACAATCTCTTATTACACTTATCTGCCATTAGTATTAATGTGCATGACATAGGACACAATCCCTATTATTGCCTGACTCTAAATAAAATTTGGCTCATAAAATTCCTGTTGGCTGTATTACCCGGACACATTAGAGTTCAATGTATGGAGTCCATTTTTTTTTTCTTTATAAATATTTGTTTTTTTTTTGGGAGCAAGCAACGTCGTACGGGGACCACCCGATCTTGAAAATACTATGTATAAGACGAGTACTATATTCAACACGGGATCAAAATATCCTTTTGTGGGCAGCCACACGAGATCCATTTACGGATTAGATAGAGGCTGGAGGCGTGAAGAGAAAAAACGCATAAATAACGTCGGCACAGATCATCACCGGTCACACCAAATTACACCAAATTACGGAATTAAATTAACGATTCCACGGAACCAAATCGATGTTTTTGTATTTTCCGAATTGGTATAATGGAGACCGACCTCCCGGTGTTACTTTTCTTGTCGCGGCTTAATGATGGGCTCCGCCGAGGAATATTAAAAACAAGGTTCCACTTATATACTACGGATTATTCACGTGTATGAAGCGACAATTATGTAGGAATAATAGGTACGTTTTAATTTAGAATAATTTCACCAGCATTCATTTTCACCATCTTTTTTCCCTCAAAATCCGTTTAGGTTTCAATGAGAACGTTGACCTTTGGTTTACGAGGAAACTAGATACATGAGCAACGATACTTTAAGGGTGCAAAGGAAAGTTAGCATACCTTATCTTACATAAAGCCAAATAGTCATTCGTAATTGTTGTGTTGTCTTCTTTTTATTATAATTCTTCTTCCTCTATTGGAGGATAACACAGTACCCCGTCCTTTTGCAGGTTTCGAACTTCTCGTTAAGTTTTATCCTTTTCCGAAGATAACTTCGGCCCCATCTTGTGGTCTTCTTACGTTTCCTTTTAACTGCCTTTTTTGTTGTGTCGTGTTTTGTCTCTTGTCACATACTCCATCTTAACTTCTTTATTTTGTTGTTGACTGGACTGTGGATTTCGAGTTTTGGTTAGTTTCGAATTTTAATCGTGATAGAAATATGCGGCGAATTTTACAATATAAAAAAACGGCTCATAAGGAATCTGTTGCTCATTTATAGAAATATATTTTTACCGAAAGTATTTACACATTTTTATTTGACGATTAAAGAATATTTTCTTTAAATATTTGTATAAACCAATGTGACTTCTTGAAAACGCTTTGAAAAAAAGAACGCATACAAGCTACTTCGAAATGTTTTAGTAAATATATTTCTTAAAAAATAGCAATATGTTCCAAAGGCCTTCATATCCCCACGTTTTTACATTAATATCTATATTTAACCATTATAAATTGATATGGCAAAGAATACCAACTGTGATTTACTTTTTAATTCTATTATAATAATACGAACAAATATACAAATAATAAAAATACAATTAAAAAAAAATTAGTTATAACATCGAAACACAAGAATTTAGTATCTTAAAAGAACACAAGGACGTAGAGAAATATAGAAATATTATATACAGTCTCTTATTACGGCTCTCTGCTATAACGTGTATGACAAAGAAAACAATCCATATTACTACTCAATTCCAGTTCGCAATAGGCAGTTTAACACGAGTTAATTCCGATAGCTCAATAAAAGGTAAAATGTTAGCTAATGGAAAACTTTTGGGTTAATGTCTTTCGCAGAATTCAAAAATGAATTAAAACGAATAGTCGTTTCTTTTTTCTTTCTTTTTCTTCGCGGGTTAAAACAAAAGGCCTTGTTCGATCGTCGCGATTCTAATTTGCCCTCAGTTTTATACATCATAACGGCGGCAAAGGGGTGAGGGGGAGTGGACAAAAAGCCTGCGCGGACATTTAAATGCGGACGGGCCGTGAAAACGGTGGACAAAAACCGCGTTCCGTTTCATTTAAGACGATTCCGTGGACAAAAACGGTGATCGTTTAAGTTCGACGTGACGCTCAGGTGCACTCCAGTGGCGTGGGACCTTGTTTCAAGCAAAATATTATTGAACGAGTTAAGAATGAATTTTTATATAAATTTTGTGCAGGACGCAAACGAAAGTAAAAGAAATGGAATTTGGAAAACACGAAATGCCGTAGTACATGCCTCTCCAACGTTACGGAAGACTTGGACCCGTCGCCCCCCCGGCTAAAATAAACAATCAAAATCGGACGGTAATTTACTTTAATGAGTATCTTTTGTATTCCTCGCGGCCCGGCCTTCCCCCTGGGTACCCCGTATACCTACCTACCCCGGCAAAGTAAACTTCAAAGGTAAACTCTAGCTGACCCCCCTCTCAATTGAAAAACGGTGGACCAAAAGCCAATCAGCCCGCGGGATTAGATTGTGACTTCTTCGGTTCTCCCATGTTGACATTGTCGAATACACATCCAATTCATTAGTCGTTCGGGTGCTAGGGGAGCGGGGGGACATCAAGACCCTCCCTCCCCTTCAACGAGTGGCGTCACCGCTGCCGCCGCCGCGCCCCGGCAATCGGACAAAACCTGAAAAATATATTTACATTGGTCGTCAGGTCGTCCAGGCATCGAATTTCAATTCGTTTGAAAGGTTTTTCTCGCAGGAAAGCGCGTCCCCCGCCCCCGCGCCCCACTGCCCAACAGTGACGAAGCGTTTTCCATTACGCGTTACCTCACCCCGCCGGTGGTATTGGCAAAAAAATTATTTTTTTCGCTTTTTTTTTAGGTAACTGTTGTCAATTGTCAATTCGGGCGCTTTTTAATATCATTACCGGTTTTTTAATTTTTCGTAAATGTGTAAGTACATTAATTTGACCCTTTTCGAATTTCACTCAACTGTTTTTCAAGTTAAAAATCATTTGGAATGTTGTCTTTAATAGTTAACATCACTTCATGCTGAATACTCAACCAGTAAACAATTTTTCTACTCCCGTTTGTAAAATACCTAATTATACACCGATCTAGTGTGCGGGAAGCGTCACTTTACCACGTCAGTTTCGTTTCCCACGGATCCGAGCCACGTCGGATATTTCCAACCAAAAACTAACGGTCGTAGAAAAAGTATAAACTTTCTAAGTCACTCGTTAATTAAACACTCGCTCCGCTGCGCTCCGCTCGTGTCAAGTAAACTCGTGAATCAAATGCCGTTTACCGCACTTGTTGCATAATATACTATTTTCCATTCACTTCTGTAAAATACTTAATTATATACCGATCTAGCACGCATCATTTTCGTTTATCGCGGATTCGAATCTCTTCGGAAATTTCCGGGATATTACCGAACTGGTTTGGAAGCAATCGGATGTTTTCGGAGATATTACCGCATGGCTTGAATTTTGACATTTCTCAATCCTAAGGGTCATGCCAATGGATGTGTTTGTTTTGTTTTGCATATATGTACCCAAAAACTAACAATCGTAGAAAAGGTATGGATATACCATGGAACACGTTTGATCAACTTTTTAAGTCACTCGTGACTTAAATGCTTTTTACCACACTTATTGCAAAATATACTATAAAATAAAAATTAAAGGCTTGTTGCTTAAAATGCCTTTTTGGTATTACTAAACACATGAATGAAATCTTATATGGTGTCAGGAATGGCCCCTAGAAAACCGTTTTACTGTATTTCAACGTATTTCGTGTACTACTTATAGCTTACTGGGAAATAATTTATTAATATTGTCCCAGTTCATATTACAAATATAATAATAAATGTGTGTTCTTTTTTTTATTTGTTTTATCTTTACTATTTTTATCTTTAAGTTAAGCATTTCCCACCAAAAAAAATAGTTCCCTGTGTGTTTTTTTTAATATAACAAAATTAAAATTAATAGAAGTTTACACCAATATGGGGCAGTTTTTAACCTCGACTCGACGTGGGCGTAATACAAGGCTTATTTTTTGTGAGAAAGGGAACTTTTTGAAAATGAAAAGGTATTTTCGTTTATTGCTGTTACAAACACTGATAGCAAAAATGTTGCTATACTGTAAAGTTTGAACTTGGCGGTTTGAATTCCGGTGTCATTTCATATGAAAGAGGTGTTTCATAACGTGGTTACCATAGCAACCATTGTCTAAATCCTATATTTGCATTACAACAAAAGAAATTTCATGGATGACTTTTAATCGTATGTCTGCGACGTCAATGTTCGGTTATTTGGATGTTTATTTGTGTACAACTTATCTGAATGCTTAATGAATTTTTATTTTGTTCTGTTCCGTTCTGTTCTATTTTAACGTGTAAAAATAGATTCAAACTGTAGATGACATAATTTTCAGTGACCCGTATAATTTTTACAATTAACAATTCAAAGTAATTTTTATTAATCATTGAAAAAATCAAATTATCACTCATATCAATTAAATGAATAAATAATACCAAGAACAAGATATTTTTGGATTTTAATTTTATTTTGAATAGAAAATTTTTGATGTTTAAAGCGCCATATAATAGGAATTAGCGGAAAATTATCCAAAAAAAACGGAGAAATGCGGAGGTTTTTTGCTATTATTTTCGCTTTGATTGTTACCTTTTTAATTTGAAAACAAGTCTCTTGCTGTTAAAAAAAAAAACGATCAATTAAATAAAGGAAAAACGATTTTCAAAACTTTTTTTGCAAGAAAAAAGAAATAATGTTGCATATTCGCGACCAGTTTAAAAAAAAATGTTAACACGACGAGGCCCGCAGGAATCGCTTCCCCGGAATACGAAACTAATCCCTGCCGCTGCCGCAGGAGGGGCACATGTGCGTATGCGCGCGCAAGGGCATTGTCAGTATTCGAAAGGAAACATTTTTCCCCAAGCCCCGTACGCCCCTATTTTGCGCGTAAGCTGTTCCCGTATTCACGAGGGAGGAATTTTCTTAGCATTTCAGTCACAGGCTTTATACTACGGACAGGAAAACTTATAACGCTACACAAAAATAGCTTAACAACGTCCGCGTGGGTCGCTGCCCCTCGGGGGCGGAAAGTTTTTTACGTGTTAGCCCCCGTTCAGCTGCGTTTCGCTTCGAACGTGCTCTTGAAATCCGGCATTGAAATTGTAACACCCAATAAATGGATATATAATAATTTATGTATACTGTATATTAATACCAATAATAAAACTTCTTTATTTCAATCTTCAATCATTCAATTAATCAAATTAACCACAGTAAATTTCCACCAAAATTTCCTTGACAGCGTTCTGTTTCTGATTGTGCTGATGCATTTTGGAGAATTTGGTGGGTGGTTATAAATACCCTTAGAGTAAGGTCTTTTTTCTGTTATCAAAAGTAGATTGCATACATCCTCATTACTTGCAACCGCTTAAAGCTTCCCCTATATTCTCTGTTTCGTAGCTACCCTCCACTAATATCAGATAGGTAGTCCTTGTTGTGCGGAAACGATCTGCAAGAGCACTAAGTCTTAAGGGGCCTTCTTCGCGATCACTGACCACACAGATCACATAACATCTATTGTAATATTCCAGTTAAATAGAATTTCCTGAAGGACATCGTAGCCTCTAGTCAGCATACTATCCTACCTCGTTCAAATGCGTGTGCAGTTGTGTGTGTGTTTCTTATTAAAAAAAAATAAAAAATTATGATCGATAATCAACCTATCCAAATAGTTCAAAGAGCAAAACACTATTCTCTTTTGATTGTGAGATTTCTTTTGAACGTCATATTCAAAATCGTTTATTAAAATCTCACTCCGTCCGTATCAAATCAAACTCATACTCAACACCACCCTCTCATAGGGGGCGTTGCTAAAGGATGTTTTCAGTACATGCAAAGACATTCATTTTTTTTTTAAATATTAAAATAATTAAATTAATGAACCTTGTTTATTAGTATGTTTATTTCTAAATAGACTAGGACAAAGATGTTTTTCTACTCTCGTCTGTAAAATACCTATTTACCCATGTATATAGCGTGCGGGAAGCGTCACTTTACTACGTCAGTTTCGTGTCCCATGAATCCGAGCCACTTCGGACATTTCCGGGATTTTACCGCACGGATTTGGAAGCAATCGGATGTTTTCGGAGATATTTCCCACGCTTTGAATTTTGACGTTTGTCAATTCTGACGGTCATGTCAGCGAATGTGTTCGTGTTGTTTTGCGAAAATGTCCCCAAAAACTAACGGTCGTAGAAAAAGCATAGTATGCAACACGTTCGGTAAACTTTTTAACTCACTTGTTGCATAATATAGTATTTCGTTTACTACACTTAATGCAACCCACATATCAATATGACTAAGCGTATTGTGATAGGGCTTTCTTAGGGAGAATTCTAATATATAGTATATAATATAATGAACAATAAAAAAAGCTAAAAACTTAAGTTGAGTGCGGGGTTCCTCTAGTTTGGAAAAATCAGGGAAAAAAAAAGCTACCAAAACCTTAAATTTGGATTTACTGACACTACCGAAAAATTTGCAACTGTAGAATGCGGGTTAAATTAAAATTTTTAACCTGTCCAGCAGTAAACTAAAAATTGAATCCACTTTTCTGTTCTTGAAGAATCATTGACGGGTTACACTAACCTGATGCCAACAATGACGTCACGTGTCATTAACTAAATGTCTTTAAGGGTAAAAAACCGCAGGGTATTTCAAATATTTCGGTAACGTAGATGGATTCTAACCTCAAATGGGCGAACACAGCCATGGAACGTCAGCCTTACTTACTTTCATATTGTGTCCCCGCGAGGGGGTGAATGGGTGCGGTAAACTTTCCGCTTCGTACTTATTCGTCCGGCATCCCGGAGAAAAATCCAGGATTATTAGAAAGGAAGACGACGGCCGTTTCCAACGTGAGATATATGCCTCGTTTCCAAGTCAATGAGGCGGTTTCCATTTCCGGTTTGCCGGAGGCGGGCGCACCGCCTCCGGGTCGTCATATCTCTCGCAGGAATATCCATAATGGAGAAGCTTTTGTCGAGCCTCAACTCTGCAAATGCCACGGTTTAAACTCGAAAGGTCGAAGCACCAAGTTTTAATCAAAAAGGAGCCGTTTAAAGAACGTTTAGCGTTCCGTCTGTCTTCTTGCTGAAAAAAAATTGACTGGACATTTATTATACATTTCCTTTAATGAAATTATTTCAAAATTATTTACTTGTTATTCAGTTTTTAAAATTCGATTTTCGTAAAAATTTATATTAAAACGTATATTATTTTAATTTGTCAGTTTTAAAATTTTGGACGTCCTTTTTAAAAAATTCAGCTACAAATATACATCGCATCGCGGTCTCCGACTTAATTTACAAATGGCAAGCGCAAAAGAAGGAAGAATAATAACAATTTATAGCAATATTACAATACCTATTTGGAGATATACCTGCGTACGGCCGGACGCCGTTTCTTGCGGCTACACTTATTTCTGCGGGGGTCGAGGGGTGGCTTTCTCAGAATGCCTGGGATAAGGGGCGAGGGGTGGATGAAGGCCCTGGTGCGTTCAATCTCCCCGGCTCCCCAAGGTTCGATCTCGCGGCAATCATGCCGGACGTCTCGGGTTTTTCCTCCCTCTCCCTCCGCGCCGTTGCATGCTCGAGAGAGCGGGATGATTTATCGCCCCTAAGACGACGTACACACAACCCCCCCGCGGGGGCCACTGGCAATTTGAAATGTACAATTTGTTCCCTGGAAACAAATTATTAATTTTCATGCGAGATGTGTGAATTAAGCAAATTTGGTGGGTTGTTCTCGCGACCCCAGCATATGGTTGTTTACAGACGTCATAACAATTTTTTTCTTCCAAATGTAAGACCTTCTCGACCACTGACCGGTAGCGATCTCTCGAAAACAAGAATATCTGCAAAACAAAAAAAAAACAAACACTTTTAAACATTTTAGGTCCTACAAGCATAAAGATCATAATAATATTAATAAATCAAAATAACATTTATTCAATAGATGTGTTGGTGAATGTTAGTCGTCAAAACATTCTAACCTAAAACTTCATTTGCAAAATGTAATTTTAAAACTGTTCAAAAGAATAAAATCATTGGCAAAACAGTTGAAACGTTCATGGCATACTATATGAAATTTCTGATGATTCAATATTGACCGAAGCCCTGAGATTTTTACGCAGAAAGAGTGGCTGTCCCAATACAGCGACACTTAGCACCAATTTCTTTCTAAACAGCAATATCTCTACAATGTTTTTGTTTTCCCAGAAATTTAAAATCTCGCTCACGCGTATTAAATAGACCTTCTCAATTTTTGCTTTCATAGTTACTTTATAAATTCCTGTATCATCGGCATAGGCAAGGCCCCTATGTCTCTAATAGCTGCTTATTTTCATTTATAGTATCACCTGTTGCTTCATGACGAATAAGTTATGCAACACCATGTATAAGCCAAACACCGCTTTTTTTGTAAACATCATCCAAATGACACCACAGTACAATCAAAACAAAATATTTTCCAAAACTAACCAACCAAGAGTGCCGATTCCGGTCCTTAATACACAAAAAAGTTCATATGTAATGTTGGTAGCCCAACCATTCTATGTTGTAGGGATACGACATCCACGACGCGCAACCTCTAAGGGCGGCCATTCCCCCCCCTAATTTCCCCAAGACGGCTCTTCCGCCATCGACGACCGCCCGCGAGCAATTGAATTTACAATTTAAAAAAGGGGGCCCAGGATGTTGACGGCTTCGGATTGGACGAGACGTCTTTGGGCGTCGTCGTATGCAAAGGGTAGTTTACATAAGGCCGTTTTTTAGTACCCGCGACCCCATTGGACGGAGCGATTTACATAAGGGGTTGCCTAGAGTCGCGCACCCCTTTCGATATGCGGCAAATAAAAGGGTGCCTATTTATCATTCTAAAAAGTAAACGTTACAGATTAATAAATGCAAGATTTTTGACTGAAAAATATGAACATTAATCAACAAAAGATTCCTTTACGAAAAATAAAGTGCTGAAGGTCTAAGAGCAGATTGCTTTTTAATCTTAATATTACTTTATACTTCTGTTAGCAAATTTGGTACATTTACCAAGGATACACATTACGAAGGACATTTTTCTGTGCAACACATTTTTTTACAATTTTTTTGTGGAGAGAACATCAAGCGCAAAACAAAAAATTAGAAGGTCGATTGAAACTCGTAAGACGAGACAAGACGAGACAAGTCGTTTAAAAACCTTAACTGGAGCAGTCAGTAGGATCGACGAAAATATGATAGAATTATCGCAGAACTTGTCCGTCGGTAGTAAAGGTTCATCTGACATCCAACTAAAAATGCCAAATTTTGTTGATTCAACAGTTAGATGAGATTTTTCTTAAAAATTTTTTTAAATGTTCCACCTATTCCCTTAATGGTATAAGTACCCATAATACTGAGCTTTGCAATAAAGAACAACTTTTTAAAGAAAATCCATTCTCACTGCCATCCATTAAAATTGAAAATATGGAATGTAAAGTATCAGCCAGTCCAACCACAATCGATTGATCTCAATAGGATCAATAAACCACGAGAAGCTGCGAAATCATCGATTCCCGACATTGGTTATGAAATTCATCCAGTCATTTGCCACTTCAACGCTTCAATGCTTTTTGCTGCAAGATTCCAAGAAAACCAAGCACGACCAGTCTTTCGAAAACAACCCTCCGTCCCTGTTCTTTTCCACTACGGAGGGAGAAATTATGTTGAGAAAATATGCTGATGACTACAAAAAATGCTAGCTTCAGCATTGCCAGTATCTATCTTATTCGCATAAAAACGTTATAAATATGTGCACAATGTACTTTGATTTTCAATTCTCCTTGTAACGGCGTAATGAAAAGCTCGTAGCTCTGTTTGCAAAAAAAAAAAAACAATAAAAAAGTGTTTCTAGAAACGAGACTTATCGTTTGAAATCCTTAACTACTCTGTACACTTGCTTTTTTGTTACGTTATAGAAACCATAACCATAAACAGACCAAATCAATAAGACTCTTTTGTCTTTTCCCCATCCGAGTTCGATACTCTTTCAAATACGATTCATGACAAAATTGAAAATCGACGTTTTTCTTTTACCCAGAATCACGTCAAACTAACTTCAACGCAAATGAAACCATCAAACCTTCTCAACTCCCAAACACTCCACCACAACCTCCAACAAATTAGTCGTTTATGGATCAGTCGCTCCACTCGTGCCAAACAAACTCGTAACTCGAATGTTCTACTCCCGTCTGTAAAATACTTAATTACACACCGATTTAGGGTGCGGAAAGCGTCACTTTACCACGTCAATTTCGTTTCCCACGAATCGGAACCACTTCTGACAGTCAAGTCAGTGAATGTATTCGTGTTGTTTTGCGAAAATATACCCAACAACTAACGGTCGTAAAAAAGTATAGTATGCAACACGTTCGGTAAACTTTTTAAGTCACTCGTTTATTAAACACTCGCTCCGCTCGTGTCAAATAAACTCGTGAATCAAATGCCGTTTACCGCACTTGTTGCATAATATACTACTACATTTTCTAAAAACACAACGTAGTTAGTAAGAGAAAACATCCCTTTCGATAATTTATTTTAAAACAATTATCAATAAGAATTATTAAAATATTCTTGATCCCTCCCTCCCTTCTCTTTGGTATCTTCATTACTTCGAATGTCGAACGCTCCGTCTCTCGAAAGCGAAGCGTACCGAAGTACTAGATGAATATTCGGCACTAACTGAAAAACACCTTGCATCGTTGTAACGTCGTCGGTTTAAAGAAGGTCCGTAATTGGGTATACGTAAGAATTGCGTCTGCTTCGGGGCAAAAATCTCTTGTGCCATAAATAAAAAGATCCGGACAAAAGATGTCATCGTATAGGTGAACCCCGGGTCGAAGTTGAAACCAATTACTGGGGGGTATTGTTGCCCCGGACTGGGATACAACGTTCGATCTGACCACGTTCCTCTACAAAGGTCTCAATTTGCTGACGTATCGGGTGGCCCTTTTTGCCATCAAACGCGTATAGTTCTTCTCGGATTGTGATCGCGTAGTTTCGCGGAAAAAAATTATAGTCCGAAAGGGATCACTTTTTTTGTTTTTTTGCGTCCCCCGCCCTGAACGATTCACAACTAAGCGTTCAACCAATGGGGCATGTATAGTTCGGGCCGTATTGTAGGGCACCGAAAATATTATTTCTAATTTGTTTACATTTACCAAATATAATTCGGGTAAAATTTGAAAAGAAGAATTATATCTTCTTGAAAAAGTGTTTCAAAAAAATATATAATATAATGTAATCTTTTGCAATTTAATTAGCTTTAAAATAATCAACACAGTTAGTTACACTTTAAGTATTTTATTTCTCTTATTTGCAACGCACTCGACCACGAGTGCGGCCTGTTTTTAACTATTATTTTTCTACGGCTCTGTAAAAGGGGCACCAAAAATTTGAAATTCTTTTAATTATTTCTGCAAAGCTTTAATAAAAATAAATGAAATCTGGAACACACATGCCTTTGACTAGGTTGGCTGAAAAAAATTAAGTACAAAACAATTTACATTACTTGCACTTTATGCAAATTGTTTAAAAAATATTACTTTCTCGGTTTATCTCCCTTATTAATAAAGCTGGCGTGTTGCTGCTTTCTTAACGCATTCTACTTTCTTATGAAATGAAAGATGGCATAAACAGAAATATCATAGCTGATGCAGGATGATTTTGGGAATTATACATTTTTAGACAACCTTTTAGCTACTCTGGATAGGATGAATTAGGTATTGGCGTAGTCAGTTTTGATATTCAGTAGTCGTCGATTTCGTAGTCAGTTTTGAATTTTGATATAAAAACTAAATTCGGGCCTTGTTTTTTAATGGAACATCCTGTATGTCTTTTAATCATTTTATTATACTTTAATTTAATTTTTTTTATGAGTAGGCCATGCAAAATACACTTTTTTTTATAATTTTATATAATATAATACTTAAAATAAACACTTTAATTCAAAATTTCTCATAGTTCTCATTGTTGGCATTAACATAAGTCATAGCAAAAGAAAGAGGAGGTGCAAAATAAAATATTAATTGCGGAATATCGTGACTGACAACTAAAAGGAAAACAGACACCTATTTAAATGGCCTACTCATAAAAAAAACTAAAGTTATATGCTTTATATTTGAAATACCTCTTATGTTTTATATATTTTTGAAAAGTTCATAACCAAGCCTACTAATTAATTAATTTAATTTAATTAGTTAATATACTTACAGTGTGTTTTATTAAAAAAGCACAAGCCTAGTTAAAAACCTTATCCTGACCAGTCTTCACTTTTACGATGAGTTAACGCATATCTCAAGTACAAAAGGTGTTTAGAAATGTAACATTGTCAAAATCATCCTGTATCTTAAAATCGAAGATTGCTATGACATATCTGTTTGCGCAATCTTTCACTTAATAAAAAAGCAGCTTCGGGTCATAAAAGGAACGGCGTAATTTTCAGGACTTTAGAATAACCGAAATCAGTTACATTAAACCTGATTGTTGCTCTCAATTTTGAACAACACCAAACTCAAAGCTTCATACTGAATTCTTGGAAATTCCCATTTTTTAATTAAGGTATACATTTTTAAATCAAGTAACTTCAAATGCGACTAACTATCGCATATCTTGCCTAGCATAAAACAAATATCTGACAATTTTGATGTTGTTGGTATGTACAAACATAACAAATCAAAACAAGTTCGTCAAATTCATTTATTATTGGGGCCGACGTATGGGCTCGAACAAAAATACTTCGATAAATTAGAAAACAAAACATGTGGACAAAAAATGAAACTTTCTTTAAAAAAAAACTAATAATAAAATATGTTTAGTACAT